CCTTCTACTTGTTAACACATGCTCTACCACATTGTCAGGGGGTGATAGCGAAGACCAGTCCTCAAGAACCCCCTACCAGCCTAGGATTTAGGGATTGCCCTGTTGTGTCTAAAGTGTTTTTTTTCTTTATTAAAAACACCTTAGACACAACAGTGTAATCTCTAAATCCTGGACTGTTAGGGGGCACTTGAGGACTGGGTTGGGAACCACTGGTGAAGACCATTTGTAGAGTCTTTCTGGTGAATAAGTAGTCCAGCAGAACCCCAGTATAGTTTTCTTACCACCTTGAAAACCTACTCCCACCCCCTTTTTTTTGAAGTCCTAACACCTTTTTCCCCATTATCTGTCAGAGCCGTCACATGGTTCAATTAAAGGTTTCTCATAGAGAAGCATTTGACTGGGCCATTTAACCAGTTCAGAGCTTATGCACCTGTTCTGAGTGAGGGGAGGGAGGGATGGAGGCAGGTAAAATAAAAAACAAATTAAAATTAAATAACAGAGGGTATAGGGAGGCTGGAAATTCTTCAGTGAAGGAACAAAGGGGAGACAAATGCTTCCTCTTGCAAATTCTTCCTGCAATAACAAAGCTAATTACGTGGAAGTATTTTATGCACAGAATTGACATTTCACTGTACAGAACAGAGATCAGCTGCCAAAGTCAGGTTTGCTAGGATGTAACTAGCGCGTGGCACAAATGTGCAAATATCTCAGTATGTGCAGCATTTCAAGTGTTTAAATGCAGATGCGGTCACAGTGGTTGAGTAACCCTTTAACCTCCATGCTTGGAATAGGGGATGGCAATTCAGCCAGTGGCTGCTTTCTATTTGAAAAAAATTATTTTATGTTTTCTTTATTTATTTATTAGTGGTTCTTCAACAAATTACTTTTTTTTTCTCAAGAAACCTTACTTAGCAACACCAAAGGGCTTTTAATCTCAGTATAAGACAATATTAATTGGCATTTTTCCCCTCATACTATTTTGCAAGTATTGGTTGGCTTCAAGCAGCCTAAAACGAATCACATCACACGTTCTTCTTATGCACAAGATATTGCCAGTCATCTTGTTTTTCTAAAGAACTTATAATAATGCAGAATTTGTAATAATAAACATCTATAATTATATTTTAGTTCACGTAAAAGAAAAAAAAAATGTAACGTTTATTGCTAAAGTAAAAATATAATAATTCATAGCCAATTTGTATAATTTGTTCAGAATCTTAAATTTCTGAAATTCGGTACTCTCTAACATGTCACTATTTAATGAACAAACCCCAGAGTATTTTTTGAATTTTATATCTACAGTGGACTGTTACGCCCATCTATAATCAGAAAACGTGTTATTCAATGAGTGTTTTCACCTCATTGTAAGGCTAAACGACTTTGCTAAGACTCAGGCCTGTTTTAAGTACATTGATATTGTCATAAAAACTAACCCAGCGTATAAAGAGACAGTCTGGAGATGTGTCTCGCAGCCTGTAATGTTACTGAGAGGCTATAACATTTTAATCTCCCCTTGATTCAATCCGTGTCATTCCGCCTCAAACCATTATCATCAAAGTAAAAAATCGTCTTAAATAAATGAAGCACTGAGATATTCATATCAAAGTATTTCCATGTCCTTATATGTTCCTGCCATTGATAATATTATTTTACTTTAATTCATGTCAATTAGGGTCTTGGGATTTATCCATGCAGACATACATTAAGTAGGCGTATTTAGATTCTGTTTTATATACTGTATGTTTTTTTTTTTCTGTAAAACACATTGAAATAGCTGGAAAGACTGAATCTTCCTGACATTTTTATTGCAAAGACCAAACAGCTTGGATTTAATTTCCTGGAGATTACAGCAAGATCCCTACTATATTTGCTAATATTCATGCCTAATACCTCGATGTTGAAAATGACTCCTCATTCACACATACGTGTAATTGCAATATAGAGCATGCATCACCCACCTATCACCTTCAAATTGAATACATTTGTCTAGCTCCCAAATTAACCAATTCTCCAATAAAAGTCACTTCAGCTCAAAATAAAAATGTAATTGTATGTTATCCCATCCATCAAACAAATATTTATTCATAAAATATATGAAGTGATGTGGAGACAGAGAATGATAAATAATTTTGTGAATTGCGCTCACAGAGATGAACAGCAATGGAACCAGTAGCGGTGTCCCGATTCCCATGATGCTGTGCATGCTAATATACTTATGAGGGAGAAGTGGCTATATACACTGACAAGAGAAGCACCATAATATCTTCTACTTTTTTTCTAACAATCAGTAACAAAACACAAAGCAATCAGCGTATATGTAGAAAATATAGTATAAAGCATTTCCATAAAAAGTTGTATTACAAAATAGTAGACTATTGTAAAGCGAGTCCACAAAAATATGTGAAGTAAAACCTGAAAAAATGGCAACATTCTCTTTGTTTATTACAGAAGACAACTTGTTATCTCGAGATAAACCATAACAATATTAAAAATACATGTTTTTTCTGGGCTTGCGTAGTTTATGGTTCTAAATTGCATAATGTTTAGAAGGGTTGTGGAATCATTAAAGGGATCCTATAGCACCAGGAAAACAAAGCCGAAGGGGTTAAAACCCATTCAGCCACATACCTGAATCCAGCACCGATGTCCCTCGGTGCTGGATCAGGCTCTGCCCACGCTCCTCCCCACCGACGTCAGCCAGTGGGGGGAAACCTAATGCGCATGCGCGGCAATGGCCGCACGTGCATTAGACCTCCTCATAGGAAAGCATTATTCAATGCTTTCCAAGGGGAAAATCTGATGCCGGAGGTCCGTGAGATTTCAGAAGCACCCTCAGTGGCTGTCTGGCAGACAGCCATTATGGGCAGACTTAGAGCTGCAATGTTCTCTGGAACTGCAATGTTTAACATTGCAGCACTAAGTTCAAAAGGGACACAGCACCCAGACCACTTCAATTAGCTGAAGTGGTCTGGGTGCCTACAGTGTCCCTTTAACTACAGGTTTGTTTGGAAAGTGCAGGCCTCTGAGCTGGCCTGATTTCAACAGGACAGTCTCAATTTCAGTGGGACAGTCCTGCTTTTCAGGTTCTGTCCCACCGTACTGACTTTTGTGACACCAAATATCTGTCTCAACAACCAAAGCATGAGAGCATCATTGGATGCACTCATGACATGATCAGGGCATTAGGTCAATGCACAGAACACTAAAATAGTGCTCCATGCAAGGTTTTCCCTCAGTGGGCTAGCCTGGATGATGGAAAGGCATCCTGGCATGCATTTACCTGGCAATCCTTTGGGCAGACTAGCCCCCTTTGTAGGTATGTCCGCTATTTTGAATGGTGTTAGTGATGGAATCACATTGTCCCATCCCACCGACATCCTGATTCACAGGGCAACAAATATGGGAGGTGTGAAAGTGTGAACTGTTGGCAATTTAACATTTTAGGCACTACTTTTATTTAAAACAAAAACTATTAAAAAAAAGTTCATCTGTATAAACAATTAGCAATATTTTTTGTTTACAGTTCCAAGGGAAATTGTAATAAAAGTTGTTTTTTACATATGCTTTTTTTTACCGAGTTCCATGAGGGACCTTCTTCTGTCAGAAGTTAGCTGCCGTTCTGCTTTGTTTATAATTTACTTCATCTGCGCTTTGTGGGCCATATTATAGACATGTAGCAGGTATTTTGGAACTGCTGAATACAGAAATGGATATGCAATCTGCATTGTAATTACACACTAAATGAACTATGCTAGTCCTCTAGGACTCCTGTCTCATTCCTTATTCAGTAGCCTTCTTTAGCCTTGTGTGCAAAGGCAAGAAAGCTATTAGATGGCATCCCTCTGTGGTATAAGTACAAAACTCTATCCAGCCACATGCCAGCAGCATTCTTACTATCATGTGACACTGTCATTTTGCCTGATGCTTATATAATTACAAGATAATATAGGAAAGCATATATTCCCAGCTAACATCAGGGAAAAAAAAATCACATTAACTAGTTATTGATAGATGATGCTCTATATTGTGAGAGAGAAATTGATTACACATTGTAGCGAAATGGGCTTTGCTACTATTCACCTTTTATACTAGAGGCTGTCCCTTACCATTTTGTTGCTTTATTTTTTGGGGATTGCAACTGTTCGTTACTTGTAGAAACAAGTAATAAGTTATCATCTTATATTGTTCGTCTGGTTGTTCGGCAAAAACCCTCTGTTCAGCTATTTCTACTATATAGTTCGGCAAACAAACTAAATACCGAACAACCAGGCCACCTATGCAAGGAGCGTGGCACCAATTAACCACACAACCTGGTTCACACTCTCTGATTGCAAACACACAAACAAACTGGGTGATCTCCTAGCATACGAATTATACCGGCGGTGTTTGGTCGTCGAATGTTTGGAACCCACTAAACGGCACTAACACCGCAGAGACTTCCATCCTCGTGTAAGTTCGTGGGAACTCAGGGGAACAGAGCGGCATTCGGTAGAAAGAATTACATGAACGAGAGGAATTGCAGAAACTAAGACACAAACCATAATTTTATGTACTTTCGTGCATTTCAAACTCCCGAACAGAGAATTTAAAATTAAGACCTCTATAAAACTTTCGAACCCCTGACCCAATCTGGGTGATTTTTCAGTATGTTGCTTCCCCAGATCAGGGCTATCAGGGGATATTGGATTTATGAATATAGGATGTGTTTCCAGAAAATTAAGACCTCTATAAAACTTTCGAACCCCTGACCCAATCTGGGTGATTTTTCAGTATGTTGCTTCCCCCAGATCAGGGCTATCAGGGGATATTGGAATTATGAATAAAGGATGTGTTTTTGGAGTGTTTCCAGAAAAGTTTTTCTGGAAACACTCCAAAAACACATCCTATATTCATAATTCCAATATCCCCTGATAGCCCTGATCTGGGGAAGCAACATACTGAAAAATCACACAGATTGGGTCAGGGGTTCGAAAGTTTTATAGAGGTCTTAATTTTAAATTCTCTGTTCGGGAGTTTGAAATGCACGAAAGTACATAAAATTATGGTTTGTGTCTTAGTTTCTGCAATTCCTCTCGTTCATGTAATTCTCGTTCATGTAATAATTATGATTTTTATGTTTTGGGATAATTGAGTTGATACAGTAATTAACTCAATTATCCCCTGAGCAGAGGGGAGGGATTGTATTCAGTGCATGGGAGTGTCTTGTAACAACTATGTTTTTACTGCTTGATGTATATTTTTATCGGTGCCCCACAAGGTCCACCTGGGTGGTAACCTTTGGGGCAAAACCTGCATAAAAGGCCAGCCTGGTCATTAAAGGATCAGTTCTGCTCCTAATACTGAGTGTCGTCCAGTTATTGGGAAGGGTGATGGGATATTCGTGTATGATCTCATATTTATGCCTGCTGTCCTGAAGTATCCTGTTTGTTCCTGAGTAGCTGTTGGAGTAACCAGCAGAGAGGAAGCCCTGCTACCATTGCTCTCCGCTACACACACACGCTACACACACACCTGCGAACTACGTTAGGACACAACACGAAAATCAGGACTGGCCTGCCGAAATAGAAATGGAAGGTTGAAAGACCTGTCTTCTATTGAATCCACTACACCTCTCAAATGCTCATATGGTTTTTCAAGTTCCACAGAGAAGCCTATTGGTCCATAGTTTTTCATTGGGTCCAGCCCATTCCAGGGTCTTTTGAGTTGCAATCAAGCATAATTTGTCATGATATCCTCAATTCTAAAGACCTTCCTTGAAGATATATAAAATTATTTTTTAGATGTGACATTTTCATTGTCTGTAAGGCCTACAACAACAATAACAATTAAACCTATAAAAATCTGATACTTAAGAGCAAAAGAAAAATAATTGCAGAAACTGGGTTGTAATAAGAGGAGTATTTTTTAAGAATTAGATGAATATGCTCTTTAAGATGGAAAGTGATATGCAAGGTTAATAAAAAAGTTATATATTTTATACTCAGAACATATTTAGTGGCAGTAATTTAATGTGTGTTTTACTAACAACTGGCATTTTTGTTAAAACAAACTGCCTTATAAAATACTGAAAATTACTAAATGAAAGAGAAGGAATGCTGTATTACGATGCAGAGCTGTAATATATGTGGTATTAATAAGATGTAGGACTTATGTGCAATATGAACAAGATTAAAAATGGGATCCATGTACCAGGAAAATATTTTATTTTATGAGGTTATGAAATAAAAACACTGTATTATGAATTCATACATTGATCGGCCTCAACATTAAAACCACTGACAGTTTATGTGAATAACATTGATATTATCATTGCAATGGCACTTGTTAAAGGATGGGATACATTAGGCAGCAAGTGAAGAGTCAGTTCTTGAATTTCATGTACATATAACCAAATGATACCGCACTCAGAATTGTCAAGATACGTCTGTATAGGTACGCATTATCACACTAAGTGAATACTTGTTGAGAAAAAAAGCTTAATATTTATTCAATTACTATGCCAAAAAACAAATAACTTAAACCAATCTATACAATCAGTTATATGTACCTCATCCCACCATAACCAATGCATTATCTATGGTACACCAAACATGGATAGGTGAACACCCATAAAGTCCGACAATGTCAGTGGTATTAGTGCCTAATACCACTGTGTGGCTGAGAGCCCCCTGTGTGATCAGGATCGGATTTCTTCCTAGTAGGGTTAGAACAAAAAAATAAAAATAATAGCAAAATTACAAAAAGAAAAAGAAAAAAAAGAAAAAATTGAAAAAAGGAGATTTTTTTTAAATGTATTTACAGTACCAGTGTCTACACACCAAACAGCAGTATTGAATGACCTATATAGATAATGTATGGATAGGTCTCACCAATATTTTGGCTGGTGTCAGTCCTGTAGAGGATGAAGAAAAGTTGTGGCTTGTTCAAGTCCCTGTGGGAGAAAGACTCCTCTGTATCCTCTGCCAGACGATAATATTTCTTAATGGTATCCTCCTGATGTGTCTTCCTTGATTTACTGTCCAAGATGGGGGGTCTCTCTTGAGGTCGTTGGGGTGCTCGGGCTGCGCGCTCGGGATCTAATAGTCCCTTTGATGGTCCTGTTGGGAAAAAATGCAGTGTGTTTTTATTTCCTGTTTGGTGCGCCCGCGTCCTATCGCGGGTCACGCCCGTGTGACATCACACCATGCTCGGCACGCTCCAATGCGCATGTGTGCCGCGCTAACTAGTAGTTGCTGTGTCAACACGGTTGTCTATATAATAACTTTATTAGTGCGGTCACAGTTTCGCATTTCACCCAACTTTATATAATATGTGCAAAACGTACAATATACATGACATCCCAAATTTCGTGCTTAAACATAACATAATAATAAAAACAAAGGTAATGGAAGCCCTGCTACCATTGCTCTCCGCTACACACACACGCTACACACACACCTGCGAACTACGTTGGGACACAACCCGAAAATCAGGACTGGCCTGCCGAAATAGAAATGGGAGGTTGAAAGACCTGTCTTCTATTGAATCCACTACACCTCTCAAATGCTCATATGGTTTTTCAAGTTCCACAGAGAAGCCTATTGGTCCATAGTTTTTCATTGGGTCCAGCCCATTCCAGGGTCCAGCCTGTATTCCAGGTAATCCATTGAGGGAGGATATTATTGTAAAACAGTGACATAGTGGACAACTCTCCACAATCCCCTATGAGTCAATCTCCATAATCCCTTATCGATCTCAAGTGCATTAGTATATTACCCTCAGTATATTTAAAGGGATACATTTCTCATGGTGAGGGAACCATAGAACCATAATTCAATATGTGTTAGACTAAAGGGGACATATCCTATTAATATTAAGATGCAACTTTTTGATGGGCAGTTGTGTAATGCCCCTCCTAGACAACATGTTTAGAGGTTTTATAAATGAGAAAAATATTAAAGGACCAATATAGGCACCCAGACCACTTCAGCTTAATGAAGTGGTCTGGGTGCCAAGTCCAGCTAGGGTTAACCCTTTTTTCTATAAACATAGCAGTTTCAGAGAAACTGCTATGTTTATATTAGGGTTAATCCAGCCTCTAGTGGCTGTCTCATTGACAGCCGCTAGAGGAGCTTGCGTGCTTCTCACTGTGATTTTCACAGTGAGAAGACACCAGCGTCCATAGGAAAGCATTGTGAATGCTTTCCTATGAGACTGGCTGAATGCGCGCGCGGCTCTTGCTGCGCATGCGCATTCAGTCGAGGAGGAGGAGAGGAGGCGTAGAGGAGGAGGAGAGCTCCCCGCCCGGCGCTGAAGAAAGAGGTAAATTTAACCCCTTCCTCACCCTGGAGCCCCGCGGGAGGGGGGCCCTCAGGGTGGGGGCACCCTCAGGGCATATACTCGTTTTCCTGGCACTATAGTGGTCCTTTAAAGAAAGAATATATACATATGTACATGGAAAAACTGTCAGCAACATTATTCCAGGCATTCTAGTCAAAATATATAGAGAATCCCGTAAACAGTTTATATAAAGTGAATTTCTGATAGACAAATATCTCAAGGAATTTTTCATTTTGTTATTTTTTGAGAAAGATGATTTATTTTTATTTTCAAAACCACCAATACCAACGAGATTCATTAAAACAAGTACTTGGACTGTACAATTGTCCTAGATGCTCAGAGATTAATTATTCACCACTCCTGACAATATAATGTTAATCATGCATACTCACCAGCGGTGTAGTGTGTGAAAGTGTCTGTAGGTTCTCTTAGTCTGGACCCCGTTTCTGGTCAGGTTGCGGACCACAGTTGGTCAATGCGTTTAGAGCCATAGGAGGAGTTAGAAAGCCAAGCAGACCAATCTTGGTCAAACTCTAATACTGTAAATATAAAATCTTGTATTAGCTCGATAGGACTGCAATATTTAAACAATACTATAAATATTTCTAAAGCGCTACATGGAAATTATGTAGGTCACTATAACAGTGTCTTACAAAAAGTATTTCAGGTCATAATCCTCGTTTAGAACTTGTGGGTATAGTGTTTCCGAGGTGCTAACCCACCTTGTTTCCTTACGTAAAAGTGCCTTTCGTCTGTCGCCACCCCTGCGTAAGGGTTTGACACTATCGATTACCTGGAAGCGTACTTGGTTAACACTGTGACCATGTTGTACAAAGTGTCTAGATACCGGCTTATTGCATGTCCCTCTCTGTATGGCTGCTGTTATGTCCCTCTTATGCTCTCCAATGCGCTCTTTAACTGGCCTAGTAGTTTCTCCAACATAGAGAAGCCCACAAGGACATTTCAGTATATAAACCACATATTCGGAGTTGCATGTAAAATAGTCAGATATTCGAAATTGTTTGCCCGATAGTGGGTGGGCGAAATGTTCACCCCTGATTATACTATTACAATGTATACAGTTGAGGCATGGAAAGGTGCCTCTCTTTGGTTCAGAGAAAAACCTCCTTTGCTTCTTATTGCTACTAATATCTGAGTGCACCAATGTGTCCTTCAAGTTCTGGGCCCTTCGGTAGGAGAATAGGGCAGGATTTTTAAATTTAATTGGTAGGTTAGTATCTCCTTCAAAGATACCCCAATGTTTCATGATGATACATTTGATATCACTACTGTAAGGGGTATATGGGGATATGAAGGGGATTCTTCATATCCAGCACCTGTTTGGAGGGAAGAGTGCCTGTACACACCACCAATTCTTGAATTTCATGTGTTGGAAGAAGAATAATTGTGCAAGCGAAAGGGCCAAATCATGATGGCTAGATTACTAGGTCACAGCATCTCCAAGATTGCATGTCTTGCGCAGTGTTTCCGGTATGCGGTTGTTAGTACCTACCAAAAGTGATGCCACAAAGGACAATCGATGAACGGGTTATGAGCACCCAAGGCTCATTGATGCATGTGGGGAGCGAAAGCTAGCATGTCTTATCTGAGCACACAGAAGAGCTACTGTAGTTCAAATTGTTGAAAAACTTAATGATTAACTTAACATGATAGAAAGGTGTCAGAACACACAGTGGATCATAGTTTGCGTACCTGCAGACTAGTCAGAGTGCCCATGTTGGCCCATGTCCACCACCAAAATAGGGAATTAAACATCAGAACTGGACCATGGAGCAAAGCAAAATGTTACCTTG